CATGCTAGGAGGATTGCAGGCCCCGCCCTAGTTTTGTCACTTAATAATTTGGTAATCAAGTGGATGATCATGTCATCGCTTAATTCGTCAAATTGGACCTTCCTAGGCCGTTCTTGATCTTGAAAGATAATCACAATGTGCTGCCAGTTATTGAAGCTTTTGCAATATAAAGCAAACCATCTTTTTTCCCCTTATTAAATCTCATTTTAAGAAAACTTTAAGTTGCATATAATTGCGCACTTATCAATAAAAACGGAGAAATTGTCTAATTAGCCCTAAACATAGTGTACGTGTGTCCGTTCAGTCATAAAATTTCTAATTTTGCTAATTTAATTCTGAACTTTTTCGCGAAATTTCAATTTAGTCATTTTGGCCAACTTTCACTTGAAATGGCTAATGTGGCGGTGTGCTATGTAGAACGACCGGTAATGACTAAATCGCAATGTCAGTAATTTTCGATAAAAATTAATCGGAATGACTACATTGGAATATCACATAAAGATTTAGGACTAAATTGGCAAAATTGAAAAGTTTATGACCGAATTAACATTCGTACAATATATTTAAAACCGATTGGGTCCAACAATAACTTATAATTATCGTGAATAAGCATTTCATAATTGGGTATTTTTCTTAGTTACGTCATACATATAGCATTCTAATAATATTTACATTATCGTTTCTAATAAAATCTCGCACCTTTCGAGCTCAAGAGCTCGATCAACCCTTTAAATTGATGTGCGATTATAGTTGACCCTAACTTGACATTATTTTCCGCATCGTAGGTCCTAGTTAGGTTAATAAAAGCATGACATGATTCGTTATTGAATTTTCGAATGAAAAACAGCCTTTTTTTTTTTGGTCGAAAATGAAAAACAGCCTTGAAAAGCTTATAATATGATAATATTCGTCATTATGTTCCAGATAGGTTAATAACCTTCCAGAAAAAGATCGTCGATAGCTGTCAACCAGCCACGAATTCATGCCGCGAACTACGTTATGTTCCGCCTTTGTTGAAGGGAAAAAGGCCTATTGATGGGAGGTGTTGAATTATAATCCTCTACAAATTAACCCATAAACAAAGCATAAATATAATAACGTCTGGACCATATTTTATCCAAATCACATTTTAGAAAAACTTAGGGATTGCCCAATTAGGTTATTATATCGCGGTTGCAACATTTATATGAGAAAATCTATCCGATTAACGAAATATTTTGATTGATTCGACTTCCTAGACAATCAAGTCTACATAATCTAGTATCTTAGGATATCAATTTTGAAACTTACATCGCATCTTTTCACGTCCAAAGTATTTTAAGACTCCATTATTTATGTAAATATGGTGGGTTTCACCGTCATTAAAAAAAAATGAAACCATGCACCATCCACGCTTCCATGATCCTCCTAACTTCGAAGATTTCAGTAATTCCCAGAGTAATTGTGTGTCTTGCAATAACTTCATCGTCTCACACAAGCTAATTGAATTTACAAGTGTTCTTACTCTTCGCTCAAATAGATCGACCTCCTTTTACCTTCTACTCTAATCGAACTAACATGAACACACGTTTAGATCAAGACCAACCATTGCACCCATCATTTCAAAGTTAAATTGGATAAATCCCAGATCGGGGTCGAACTCGATATAACTCGACCCTTGTGTATTCCAACTCTTTCTTCTCCACCTATGCCTTTAACTCGAATCTTGTCCCAGTATTTGCAAGTAAATTTACACCCCGACGGTATCAAACGCCATATTCAAAAAAATAAAGAAAAGCAAACCAGCTTCAATCACTCTTAAATTCAGTCAAGTCCCTTAGTAAATATATATATGTTCTATCAATCAACCTTAGTGCCCCTAGCATTAGCATTAATCAATCTTTTTAGCCCGTACCCATCTACCAACCCGAGGTTTCGATATGATTAATGCCGGCCAATAATCACTGTTCGATGTGTGCACGTGGGGCTGGTTGACTCCATGCATTAATTAGCATCGCCTCGCACATGTTGTCTTAGAAAGAGAGGCCGATTGAAACCGATTTAATATTTTCGTTTAGATCGAGGCCACATAGCCGCTAAGTATATTCCAATTGAATTTCAACCGATTCTAGACTTGTTTAAGAAGGAAAAAAAAATTTTAAAATGGGGATATCTGAAATTAGAAGAATGATTTTGGACTAAATTTTTCCGAATGAGAAATTCAAATGGATTAAGGTCACCAGGCGCTCGGCCTGGAGAGCGGCCACAGCGATTGGGTGTTCGTGGACATGATTATAGGGCTCGATTGCGACACAAACGATGGAATCACGTTGCGCAGCACTTCGCCTAATAAAATCAAAATTAGGATGGATCAAACTTCCAGAGCGCGAAGTATTTTTCAATTTATGATATTTTATTTCAAACTCTCATAGCGAAATATACATAGCTAGTTCAAGGTCTAGACAATTGGTAAGGAAAATTAAGTTAAACATCTCTAAATTTCTTCTTTTTTTTGTACGAGATTGTTTTAATCTTGTTGGATAAGTCAATGTCACTCCACTTAACATGGGATTGGCCGGTTCTCCATCCCCAGCATTACGTCTAATTCTTCATTGCCGGTCAAGACACGGCCTGCTAATTTAGGTCAAGATACATAAGCTGAAAGATTTATTAGTTGAATTTTCCAAGTCACATTAATTACATCGATGTCTTGTGCATACGGACACTTCGAGTATAATCCCATTTGATTTGACTAATCCTCCCTAATTACCAACTCACTTAGGAAACTTCTTCTCAACTAACTTGAAAGGAGCATCATATGCACCTCGTTATTGGGCATTCAATTTCGGTTGCCATGAAAAGGAAAAGAACGAATAAATAAATCAGAAACGAAGACGTGTAGTTCCGTACGGGACGATTTCAATTTGCGATCGTTGAAATTTAATGGATTCCGGAATCAAGTAACCGGATCTTAATTTCAATCATTCAATGCGCACCGAATTTTAAGAATTCGCAATCGAGACACTTCGATCAGAATCCACCCGTCTTTTCGGAACCAGCTCATCTTCACACGAGCACTGCGACGACATTTTCATTTTCGACTACGATTAACATCCAAATTCACTCGCCCGATCGAAAAGAAACAAATACCCTCGACCGATATCTCTCGTAATATGTTTCATCAAGCATAATTCGACAAGAAAAGAAAAACTCAAAATCCAACACAAAACCAAGGCGTTGATGATCAATTTTCCATTTGTCTCATTGCCTTGTCGAATCGTGGGGGGTCCTTTGTTCAGAAGCGAAACCGGATCATCGTAAACGCAAAATCGATGCAAAAACACAAGACGACGCCGGTCAAACGAACGCGATCGCGATCGATCGCGCGCGCCGATTGGCCCGACTCCCAATGTTTTGCCCCCCACGCTCGTGGGCAACTGCGTGCAGCGCTCCACGTGTGAACTCGAACCCGGGTGGAGAGAACAGAAAAAATCGAGAAATACTCTTGTCGCGGTGGTTGAAAATGTCTGAAACGGACACAATCCGACAACTCCTGCCGTGCGCGAGAATAACAAATTCGGCAACTTTAGCAAGTCGCGCGGGACTTGGTGTTTGATGTGTGTCTCGAGAGGCTGGTCGGAATCTGGAATCCACAGTCCCAACTGAACGCACGAGATGAGTATTTTTAAACGTCGTTAATCGTGCTTAGTTACGTGTTTTGGCCGCGCTAACTACACATTAGGACATTAGTTAATCAATTCTTTGCCCGTGATTTCTTGACTAAGTACAATGGAGTCTGGAGAACGGTTAGCTTTTCGTAATTGGTCCCCCCCCCCCCCCCCCCCCCAACTAAAATCCCCATATTTCTATCATGGCGGACGAAATAGGTCAAATGGTGTTGGCTTTGTTTAATCGTTTGTAACTAGGTCACTCGCCTTGTTTGTCTCGAATTTCGGCGAGATCAAGAAGCCGATGTCGTGACGAATGACGATTCTGAATCCCTGGCATCGACCTGCCTCGCCTGGCGCTCGTGAGTCCTCCCCGATTAGAGAGAATCATCCTACCTAACTTATTGTCATGTAATGAGCTCCGACAACTCGGGTTACGTACAGCTTTTTAAAAAAAGAACCCATACTCCTAAAAAAAGCCGGCCAATCAAATGTAAGGGTGTATAATTCTGACACGACATGGGATACACGAATTGACGGGGTTCTCGGTCATAGTTCCATGAACATGACGCATAAACACACGAATTGCCAGCCCGATCAAACTGCGAAAAAACTGAAATTAAGCTCGAGCGGAGCTTTGTCCAGTCAATGCGATCAACTTCCACGACCGAGTTCGATCTCCAATGCACGTCAAGGTCCAAATTGGAAAATCGAATGGTTCACGCCATCTCTGTCAGCAATCGAAGCTCGTGAAAATCGACCGAAATTTATGAAAAATAGAGGGGAGAATGAGAAAATGTGCCGTAAAATAAAAGGTAAAGGGGGAGGAGGGGAGTCAAAGCGTTGAAAAAGTCAACATACGCGTAACGCGAATACGTGGGTGGGGGACGGAACGGGACGGTGTCCCTCCCACGCCGTGCGACGCCCACGCGCTCCCGAAGGGGCGTCCGGTTCAATCGCCGGGGGGGTGGGGTGGGGACGGGCAGCCGCTAATGTTATAGGCTCTCCGGCTCGGGCCCCGCCACGCGCTTCCCGCCGCGCGTGTCTTCCCCCTTCCTCTCCTTCCCCGCCCGTCGATACGACGCCGTGTTCACCAACCCTGGTTTTTTTTTTTAATTTCTTTTGGGCTGTCAATGTTAACAATATGTGCTAAGTCCACGTCCACTGTGGTCATCCCCCATAATTCCTTCCTTCTCTCTCTCTCTCTCTCCCTCTCTAAACATGTATATTTCCCTATAATTAATTAAAAAAATTTATTAAATTTTAATTCTCAATTATCAAACCTGCATTTAGATTCTTCTCTCTCTCTCTAGAGCATTATAAATATATATATATATGGAGGGCCATCAACTCGCCCATGATCATACACTCTAAAGTTCAAGGTTCAAATTCTCTTTCGTTTTTTCCAATTCAACTTTCCGGCTCTCCTCTACTATACCTTCCCTAGATTTCTCCCGTACAGTTCAGCTTATCACTCTGAACTAGAGAGAGAGAGAGAGAGAGAGAGAGAGAGAGAGAGAGAGAGATATGGTCGTGCCGTCTCCGAGCCCGATTTGGACCAAGAAAACCCGGGCGGTCGGGATCCCGGCCATCGACCTCTCCCTCGGCCGGCCCGAGCTGTCCGAGTTGATCCTGAGGGCCAGCGAGGAATACGGCTTCTTCAAGGTCACGAACCACGGCGTGCCGAAGAGGGCGGTCTCGAGGCTGGAGGAGGAAGCAGTCGAGTTCTTCGCGAAGCCCGTGTCGGAGAAGCAGCGGGCGGGGCCGGCGGTGCCGTTCGGATACGGATGCAAGAACATCGGGCCCAATGGCGACACGGGCGAGCTCGAGTATCTCCTCCTCCATTCGGATCCTATCTCCATTGTCGAGAGATCCAAAACCATTTGCAGCGACCCGAGCGATTTCAGGTACGTGAGCTGAAATCGATCCCTTCCTCTCCTCTCTTTTCTTTTGTCCCCCCTGTTGAGCAGTGAACATGCATTCGCGTGTCCTTTCTTCCCTGTCTTCTTTTAGGCTTTAGAAAAAGAAATGTTGCGTAGCCGCACAAGCTACAAGAACGTTGATTAAGAATCACAAGAGTGTGAAACTGAAAAAGGTGTAGGGAGCGTCGGAGAAGAAAGGGTTTTTCGGATCGGTTTCCTCGTCCGGGACTCTCGCTCGTGTCGTGACGCATTCGGATTCGTGTCCCTTGTAGTTTTGCTGGGTGTTCATTTCGGTCCCGGCTGCATGAGCGTGACGTGTTTAGGAGGGGAGGGGGAATTCGATAGCTCGTGGAAACTTGGCCTCGAAGAGAGAGGAGAGAGAGAGAGAGGCCTTGTTCTTGCGACTGTGGATGGAAATGGGTGGGAGATTTTTCTCGGGGTTTTTCTTTTCGATCTGTTGTCTAATAATGAAAGGACGGTGTGATGCTTTGAGAACGACAGGTTCCATTTTATTAATCCGACGGATTAGAAAATGTTATTGTAAGGCGGAATTTTCTTTGGTCCACAAGTCGCAACCAACCGATTCTTGTTCAGCTTCGCAAAGTGCGATGATGTCAACTTGATAATTCGATTATTTTTATATATATGTTCATATTTGATTTGGGTAGTAGTGGTCTTCTTTTCTCGAAACTCGGCTACGTGATACCTGAAAGGGGAAATTTTTTCTTTTATTATTATTCAATGTTATTTTTCTAAGCTCTTTAAATTAGTTGGACGCCACTCTTTTCAGGGTCCAACCCAGAAAAACATGTAACTTTCATCTTCCCCCCTTTTTTTTTCCCTCATGAATGTTTCGTTTGAATCTCTCTCTCTCTCTCTCTCTCTCTCTCTCTCTACTTTGCTTAATTGGCCATCCTTTGAAAGTCCCTTTCGATGCCGTAATGCGTGTGATTAAGCACCCTGTCATATAATAATTTCTTCTACGATTCGATATAACGCCATAAATCAATTTCATAAATCATTTATTTATTTCTATGTATAATTTTTGCTTTGCGTAGGTTCTCGTGTTATATAAACACACTTTCGCCGCTTCTGGTGCCAGGCTTGCCCAAAAGTAATACATAGAGCTTATAGCTGTTTCCCCATTCCAAGAACCCTTTATTTTTTTGTACCTCTTTTATGTCAGAATTTTATTTTCCGGTTCTTGAAAGAGATCTTCTTTTTCCCCTATATTCTATTTTGGTGCTATCTGCTTTCGACCCTCGAAGTCAGAAGTCAGCCCTCTTTTGGTTTTTAGTTCCTTTTCTTCCTTTTTTTGTTTTTTTGGTCAGGTGCATTTATATTCTTAATAAGTGAAAAACCAAAGTTTCAATCCATCATCATTCGAACGCCACCCAAACATGCTATAGAGAAAGAGATAGGAGAGGGAGAACAAAAGGGTGTCTTGATCTGAGGGATAGAATTCATGGGATCCAACTGAAATTGCCAAAAAAGCAAAAAAAAAAAAAAAAAAAAAGAACAAAAGAAAGTAAAGAAACCACCACTAGAATGATCCGCCACGTTTGGGAGATTAAGAAGCGTCCACATTGGTTGATACTTGATATCGATGCGATATGCTTTTTCCCCAGCTGTGAGTTGTCTGAAGTGTTCTTGTTTTGGCATTGCATGGGGACCCTGGAGATGTACGGACGTTCAGCCCTTTTTCCGGGCATATAGGGGACACCGGCCATTAAAGAACCGCATTAGCGTAAAACATGATACAAACAAGGAAAACCTTGAGATACATGGTACAAAGTCAGACAAGAAATCGATAAATTTCATGTCAAATCGGGGAAAAAGGAGGAGACTTTTGTTCTTGAAGACGCCCAAGTGTCCATTCTCCCTTCGGTGCTAAATTTTGGGCATTAAGTGACGAGTCTTTTCATGGCCAAAAACCAGGAAATAACAAGGACTTGGGATGACGCATCTTCTGTAAAGTGATGGGCTACCTTCCTTTTCCCCCCCATCGCTTTTGGCGCTGTAAATCTTCGCCGCGATGCGGTTAAAAAAACATAGCCGAGTGCTGATGTAAGGCATGGGTGATCTATGGGGAAAAAGGTTTGATTTGTTTTGGCACAAGCAATGTGTGTAAAGTTCGATCTAACTTGCATCGAATTTGAAGAGTTTATTTTGTCTGTGTGTGCAGTTCTGTCGTGAATGACTACATAGCTACGGTTCGCGAGCTGACGTGCGAGATACTGGACCTGCTGGCGGAAGGACTCTGGCTCTCGGATAAGTACGCCCTCAGCAGCCTCATCAGAGACCGGCAGAGCGACTCCCTCCTCCGAATCAACCACTACCCTCCGGCCAAGGACGTCAAGAACAGCGGCTGGGACCTCTCGTCGAGGCTCGACCAGCACTCGTGCGGCGGCGGCAACGGCCGGGTCGGGTTCGGGGAGCACTCCGACCCCCAGATCCTGACCCTCCTGTGGTCCAACGACGTGGAAGGCCTCCAGATATGCCTGCACGACGGCCTGTGGATCCCCGTCCCTCCCGACCCCAGCGCGTTCTACGTTATGGTCGGCGACGTGCTTCAGGTGATCCTCCTTACACTACTCTGATAAGACGATCAAATTCAGTTCAATTTTCTTGAAGGGGCTAGTTACGTTACATAATTAGGGTTTGAATGCTCATGGTTCGACCGTACTCAATTTCTTTCTGTGTTTTTTCCCTCCCCTTTTTGCATGGACGAAGGCACTGACAAACGGGAAATTGAGGAGCGTGAGGCATCGAGCAATGGCAAACTCCCCAAAGCCGAGGATGTCGATGGTGTATTTCGGAGCCCCACCACTGAACGCATGGATCTCGCCTCTGCCCGAGCTGGTCGCCCCACAAGCCCCCACTCTCTACAGGCCCTTCACTTGGGGCGAGTACAAGAAGGCCATGTACTCGCTCCGGCTCAGCGATTCTCGCCTCGACCTCTTCAAGATACAAACCAGCAACAAGATCGCTTCGTGATCACATCATTAGCCACCATAAGTTAAAACTCGGTCAACCACAAAGAGAGTCCTCAGCTGCAGATCATTATTACGGAAGGGAAAAAGAAAGATGAGTGATAGATAGTGAGAGAGGTGTACATCGGCTAGAGATTTAGTTGAAGGGTGTTTCTTTATTATTTTCTTGGGTAGGATTGATAGGTTTGTTTTTCTCTTTTCTTTTTTTCATGTTATCATAGTTTGAAGTGTATTTTTTTTGGGGGGGTGTCGGCTTTGTTAAAGTTTAGCCTGATGAGAACGTTGAATTGTTTTTGTACTTAATCACTATATATAGTATTGACATGCCGAATTAGCATTCACTCTCTCTCTCTCGCTCTCTCTCAATGTAGTTAAATAACATATATCTACACACGTGCGTGTATATATACATGTATATATACGTTATGATGTGCACGTATAATTTGTTATTCGAAGAGAAATGGAATTGTTAATTTTTATTTTATTTTGTTAAATCGCATCATTCTAACATATGATTTCGACTAATATCCATATATATATATGTGTGCGTGCATATGTCAAATATCCATCAACACTAAATGAAATAACTTATTTTTTGTGACGACGGGCGGAACAAAAACCGGATGAAATAGAGTGAAAAGTGGAGACAATCAAGAAACCTTGTTTTTTTTTTTACCATTCAAAAGTTAAACTCGCATGGATCAATCGTTCAGCAGATTCATCTGTCAAGTTGATTGATGTGCTTGCGCCTCTATCTAATTAGGTATACCAACAAAAAAAATTATTACAAGACCAGGTCGGTCTTACAACTTAGGCTTACCTTGATTAGAGCCGATTCATATCACAATCATATATGCCTAATTAAGCTGCGCCCACTCTGACTTTTTCCATGATTGACTGGATAAGCTCATCTACCCCTGAATTAACTTCCTAAGGTAGCAACATGAACGTGCATGAAACCAGTGGCTCCGATCAATGAATATGAAAAGCTATCTAGGGTTAAACGAACAATAATTTTCACACCAACTAGAGAGACCCATCGATCGAATGGGTCATGGTGGTTTGGTCAACGGATGTGCGAGTTTAAGATAAGCTATTTGGATCAACTGTTAGGTGCGAAAATGATGATGACGACTCGAAACGGGCAATGCAACACTTGGGAAGTACTTTGCTTTTTTTAGGTGGATTCTCCCTAGCTTCCGCGCTGATAGATGAGGCCTAAATCTTATGGTGAGTCGACATCAATGTGTCTCGAGCTTATCACGAACAGCATGGGCATATAATCATTTGTTGGTGAGGAATGAGGCACATCTCAATTTAGACTAGCTATTTAAATGTTTGACCTAATTATTATCGTTGATTTATTTTAGGAAAAAAGCTAAGCCGTCGTCCATTTCGAGTTGTGTGCTTTACCCAGAAGTGAAGAGTAATGATTTCAAGGGGTAAAGTATCATGGAGACAACATTTCGAGACAAAATAAATAAAATTCATACTTTTTATTTGGTAAGAAAAAATTAATCTTTTAATTAAGCTGGGATCGAATCCTTTACGTCTTGCTCTCATTAAGGAATTTATTTAATATGATGATGCTAGGTCTATATGTCCATATTAAGGGAAACTAATTGTTTTTTTTTTTGGGAGGGGGGGGGGGGGGGTGTGGAGGGTGAGGAGAGCTTAGTAAACTTTAGTTTCATGGATTTTTGAATTCATCAAAAACTTTAAAACTTTTTATTTTACTCCAAACTATGTCTATTTTGATTCCATGACAGAAACCATGTAGATAATGTGATGAATTAGCTAGCTAGCCTAGTGCCATGCTAACTAAATATGTGAGTTTCTTGGGGGAGAATGAAAATATTAAAGTATTATTAAAAACTGTCAACGTCAACATCGGCCGTGCCGCGTAGGACGGTCTGCGTCCGCATCCACGTCACTGATTTCCGGGCAAAATTGGCCGGATTGACTCAATTGGCAAAACGCGAAAATATTTAAAGCTCAATTGGCACACTTAAAAAGGTTTAGGACTCAATTGACAAAAGAACAATAAGTTTATGACTTTTTGGATAATTTTCCCGCGAGACAAGCTGACGTTTGAGTATTGATTTGAGTAATATTAAATCTTCAAGAAACACGGTCTATCGAGGTTGATTAGACCATGTCCAACGAGTCGTTCATCGGCTCATTGACCAAGCACACTGTCAGTAAAGATCCAACCAGCGACCAAAACTACGTCGTTCAAGACTTCACGCAACTGCACGAACCAATCTTCGCGTCCCACAGACTCGAAACACGTGCGAACCCTTTGATTAAGTCGAGTCAACCACCCAAAACCTAACGAAGCACTAGCCCATTAGCCAGTGACCAATCACAATTTGCCAAATAAGAAACCCGATCCCGTACTTAATCAATAAACGCCATTTAAGCCCGCTGATTTATCAGTGAAGTGCAACGAAAAGATGGGTGGGTGAAAGATTGAAGAGTGTTAGTTTGAAGAAGTTGGAACTTTGTGTGTTTTATAAAGAAGGGGAAGAGAGAGACTGCTAGGCTTGTGTGTAGTGCCTCTCTATGTATGTGTGTTCAACTTCAAGCGTTGCGAGTTCAAGCTGATCAGATGGCTTCCCTAGTTTTGTTGCTCGAAGCATTGTGGAGATGTCGCCACGACACGGGCATCGACTTTCTTGGCCAAGGAGCAGAGGAACGATGTCCATGTCATCATGGCGACGGCGTAGGCCGTAAATATCAGCAAGTACATGGTGACACAGGAGATTACTACGAGATTTCCGGTGAAACCCTCGGCGCGGAAAAGGTTGCTCAAAGCTGGAAGGTTGGTGACTATAATGTATGGCCTTAAGCAAAAATATACGTAAGAATAATTATGATAAGGATGATGAAGATGTAGATCGACATCAGACGTTTATCTTATATATACTTGGGAATGCTTGTATTAATTAGCCTTTGTTTTCCTTCTAATTCTATGCATAAAAAGTAAAAAGTAAAGGTCACAAGAGATAGAGGGCTGTCCTTTAAGCCCGTGGAAGACACTCCCCACAACCGGAGAATCCAAAACAACTGGGCATCCCACCAACAATCTTTGAGTGATCTTCCTTTTAGATTGTTTGTTGCTCTTGTTCTCCCTTAGCCATTGTGTTGGCTCTCTTTTGTTCCACTTAGATCGCGTTTAGCTATGCATAGTCGCACACCTTTTACCCGTTGGAACACCATTGGTGTCCCATTGGGTACGAGGTTTTTGTATTCGACTATCCCCTTTTGTAAGTGGTGCGTCAAAAAGTCAATATACATCTTACCTTACCAAAAAAAAAAAAAAAGTAAAAGGTTTAGAGTCATTCCGACGAGGCGGATCAACTTACCTGATAATCGGCCAACAACATCTAAGCAAATCATCGGAGACAACACACAAAGGTGTGGAGTAATTCCGATGAGGTAGCTACCATGTTTTTGCCAGAAAATAAAGAAGGTCTCTACCATTCGGATCGCCTCCTTGTTCATGTCCACCTCGTTCTCTTTTAGGGTTAGTATTTATGTATAGTTCACTACAGGATTGGATGGACTCAACTTTGTTCTGTGGCGGCGGAGGGTGAATGGTTTGGAAAAAATGGGTGGAATCGAATAGTTGAGCCGATACGATACCAAGCTCGAGCTTGACTCAACTATTGCGTATTTGGTGCTCGAAACTCGACTCCAATTCAATTGAGTATTAAGATTTCAGATGAAGCTCGACTCGAACGGAAAATCTGGGTACTCGAGCTCGACTCATTCGACTCGAATACAACCATTTTATAAAGGAGCTCAATCTTAGAGAGCTCGAAAATTTTTCTTTTGTTTTTACAGATACATGTGGTTATATCGTCTAACTTTTATAAGTACTAAAAACTTTTGAAAATATAGAAGAAGCTCAATTTGGCTAGCAAGCCTGTTGGGCCGAGTATTGGCGAGCGTGAACTTGATTCTTTGATATTTGAATAGTTTGACCTCGAGGCCGAGCTCGACTTGAGATCAAACTAGTTGATCCTGAGTGCCGATTGAGTGGAGCCCGAGTTACTGGCGAGTAGCTTAACTTAGTTTCATTCTTAGTATGAAGCTAGAGGTTATTATAACACGCAGCCAAATACATCTACGCAATTCAATATCATGGAGTCCTCTAGATGTACACGTAGGGCCTTCAACATTTCTAATGGATCCACGGCTGGCCGCATGTCGGGCCCGCCTAAGTCCGCCAAGTCGAAAGTAAAATTTGGGCACGCCTAGGCAAGCATATTCGTTCGCGTCCTAGCAACCGCCCACTTAGATATAGTCGAGTCCGTCCGCCCGCCTGCCCGCCCGTCCTTCTAATGAAGAAAATACAAGGGCGGGGCATACCCTACCCGGTCCGCAATAAGGTCTAGCAGTAACCTCGTCTCGAAACTAGTTCACGAGAACCGCGTCATCATCTCGATCGTTGTTGGATCAAGCGGGCCTCACTTAGGAGCATGATAGTCCCAAGGATGCAACGCTAATGCCCATCAAGATGTGCCTGGCCAACTTACGAAAGGGTTGAGCTCGACTGTCCCAATAAGATGGGCTTCGGTTTGGGCTTGAGAGCAAAATACGACCTACGACCCCAATACATAGAAGTAGATGGGGAAAACCATTGGCTAATCAAATCGAGGAAAACCGTGCTTAGTTTGCAGTTTTCTGCCGGTTTTGTGGTCAAACATGAGTCACGAGCAGAGATTTGAATGTCTTGTCTAATCCCTTGGCATCTTCAACTTATCGTGTTTCGAGAAGAGCGATATTAGACATACTAACAATGATTTACAAAATTAAATAATTGAGTCACGTCCTAAACTCCAAAAAATCCCGCAACATCACTTAGTTTAGTAAATCAATTTTGTAAACCGGTCTTGATAAATTCAATCTTTCTCTTTGGAGAAAGCAAACAAATGAAATATCTATTTTCTCAAAAGAATTTTCACAGACTTATGAATTTGAAAGTTAGATATTTTTTTAGTGATATTTTCTTTCTACGTTTTGTCCTTTTTTTTTTTTTCTTTTTTGCTTGTAGTATTTTGAATTCGACCTTTTTTTTTATCGAAACATTCAAATATTAAAATGTAGAGTCACTTAGAAATTCTCTAAAAATAATTAAAATTAATTCTTCTTCCATTTTCCAGTAGCTATTCTTAATCCCACCATGAGTGTGAAATTATCCTTAGACATTCACCGTTGGATTAACGATCTGTGTGTTTTGAGTTAGTTTTGCAACTATCAATGATGAATGTATAAACAATTTGGTAAAAAATAAGGATAGGTTGTAAATTACAAATTATGAAAAATAG